GCCTTATTCGTGGAGCAGTCAACACTCCAATGATAATCTGCTGCACTCCGGTTCCAACTCTCCCCCGGCCACTGCACCACCCCCAGTGCCCCGGCACGGCTCACCACTGGCCTTCCGCAACAATGTGCCATCCGATATCATTGAAGACGAAGATGCGAACCTGCTGAAGGATTCGGTAGCAGCTAGTCGATTTCTTGGCAGTTCCGGCCAGCCTAGCAACCCGTCTCCACCCGGGAGATTCCGCAGAAATGAAGATGCATTCTCGACAGCGTGGGATGCAACGGACAGCAAGAAGGAGGAGGAGAATATGTTCGATAACAGCAGAGCACAACCGCCGAAGCGACCCGCGAATACGCAACGCTACACCTCCAACAACAACAATCACAGCCCGCCCCGAAACAAAGTCATGACTCCCGCCGAGTTCGAGAAGTACCGTCGAGACAAGGAACGCGATGACAACACGAGCGAAACGGTCAAGGCCTCCGACGACAACCGCGATGACGATGAGGATCAGTATGATGATGACGAGGATGACATTGAAAAGGCGAAGCTGGCAGCCAAGCAAAGGAAGAAGCAGGAGGCCCACATGGCTGTCTACCGACAGCAGATGATGAAGGTGACGGGCGAGAACCCGATGGCCAGCCCTTCCGGACATGCTACCCGACCAAATCTATCGGTGTCGCTCAGCACCCCCAACCTCGGAAACCTGACCGTCCCCGCGGGTCCACTGACGGGCAGGTCAGACGGCTCCGAAGGAGAGGAGGACGAAGAAGTGCCGCTTGCCATTTTGGCTGCACACGGATTCCCAAACAAGAACAAGCCGCCTGCTCGACTCATGAACATGGCTTCGAACCCTGATTTGCGTGCATCCGCTCAGAACCAGCCCCAGCCTGCGAGACCGGGATCGAGCATGGGCGAGGGAACAGGGCCGAGAGGAACAAGCGGTGGTCACCTTCCCGCCTTTGCGAGAAAGCTCCCGCAAGACCCGTTCTTGGGTGCTGGTCTCATCAATGGACCGCCACGCGAGTCTCTTACGTTTGGTGGAGGCTCTCCCGCCCCCGGTGCCCAGCAGCCAGCCGTCGTGGGCGGCCTTGTCGGTGTCATTGCCGGCGAGGAACGAGCCCGGGCTATGCGCAGAGGTAGCCCCAACGTTGAGGCTAACGTCGATCCCTTCACAGGAGCACCGGTTGGCCCTGGCAACGGAGTTCCGGCCTCCATGGTATACAGCAACATGAACGGAATGAACGGCGGAATGGGTGGTATGGGAGGCATGCCGCAGATGCAACAGATGCAGCAAATGCAGCAAATGCAACAGATGCAACAAATGCAGCAGATGCAGGGAATGCCCGGAATGCCTCAGATGCCTCAGATGCCCCAGATGATGCTTACACCAGGAGACCAGGCACAGATTCAAATGACCCAGCAGATGCAGCAGTTTATGCAGATGCAGATGCAGTTCATGCAGATGATGGCGACTCCGGGTGGTCAGAACATGAACGCCATGAACGGAATGAATGGCATGCAAAGACCGATGAGCCATGTCGGAACACCCTCCGTCCACGACAGCCAGCGCCAGTCCTACTTTGGAGATTCCATGCTGGAGCCCCCTCGACTCGACCCCCGAACGAGAACCATGAGCATGGTGCAGCCAAGCTCCTCTTCATGGATTCAACCTCCCGGAGGAGGATTTGCTCCATCTATTCACGGAGGCATGGGTGGTGGTGGGTACGCACCCAGTATTCACGCCCAAGGTGCCGGGTATGCTCCCTCGATCGCACCCTCGGAACGCAGCAACGTGGGCTTACCAGGCCGTTACAGACCCGTAACGCAAGCGCCCCAGTTGGACTCTGGCCGACGCATGTCGGTCATGTCGGGAGCCATGGGATGGGACCAGCCTCCCAAGGTCGTCCAGCAGCAGGAGAACAAGTTGCCTGACAAATCCACCAGCAACTCGGACGACGACGACGAAGAGGGCTGGGCCGCGATGAAGGCCAAGAAGGAGAAGAAGCGGGGACTGTGGAGGACGAAGAAGAGCATTGGCAGTGAAATTGGAGCACTCATATCATGAAGGTACACAAAATGACGATGCCACATGGATAAAAGGAGGATGAGAGAAGAGGTGGGATATTGGAACACGACAAAAAAAAAAAGACTGGACATATTACCAAAAAGGAACACAGACACATCACGCAACTCATTTAAGGCGTGTTTGGGTTCTCTTTTCGATCTAGGGTTTGGTGTAGGGTAATTTTTCGGCGCACCCTCATCAAGTGTACATTCTGGGAGAAATCTGTTTGCCGGGCGTCGCCGTGGGAGTGAAAGAGCAAGATGAAAGGACTTGGTTATTGTTTACAAAGTCATGATAGACAGCTCTTAGTGCCATAATCAACTAATGTTGGAGAAAAAAATCTTGAAGATGAGCCCTTTTTTATTGCCATGACCATGCCTTGCGCTGTGTTTGGTGTAAGCACCTACTCAGTAGTCCCGAAAGTTTGCTCACTCGATCGTTGGCTTAGGTACTACTAGTAGATGTTGATGTGTTTTCAAATGGCAAGTAAATTTCAATGGGTCGATCTCTATCCACGACAGACCCTTGGTATGATTTGTTTCGTTTCTTTTTTGTTTCTCCTTTTTCGGGTTCTTTTACTCTTTTTTTTTCAGCAAACGTCTAAAACCCAAAGGGTTTCCCCTTGCCAATCCCTTTCAATTCAAAGATGCAGCAGTTGTGTCAAACGGGGATTCCTCCTTCTTTCCCTCTTTCCCTTCACTCCATCTTGCCCGCAGCCCACGCCTTGCGCTTGACGCCGAGCTCGACGGCGGCCAGGCCCCAGTCCTCGCCGTGGTTGTGACCGCCGGCCGTGAGCCCGGCGCGGGCCTGGGCCTGCTCGTCGCTGAGGACGGTCAGGACGCCAAAGATGACGGGGACGCCCGTGTCGAGGCCGACACGCATGAGACCTTGGGAGACGGCGTCGGCAATGTACTCGAAGTGCATCGTCTCGCCCTTGATGAGGACGCCGACGGCGATGATGGCGTCAAAGGGCTGGCCGCTGGCGTTTTCGGTGGGGAGGGAGGTCAGGTCCGTGGTGGAGGCGCCGAGGAGGTCGCCGGCCGAGGTGCCGGTGCCGGATTGTGCGGATTGGACCTGGGAGGCTTGGTAGAGTCTGTGGGTTTGGGGGGTTTGTCATTGTCAGCCAAGTAGCTTCTGGATTGGATTTGGATTGCGAAAGCGGAAGTTCCGAGCCCCCGCCAGTCTTGCTTGTACGACTGCTTCGCTGTTGACTCACCTCTGGACGGAGATGGGGAGCTCCCAAGCTCCCGGGACGGACTGGACGACGATGCTGGACTCCTTTACGCCGCAGGCGAGGAGCTTCTCCTTGGCGCCCTTGACGAGGGGTTCGATGATGGACGAGTTCCAGCGGGCGTGGACGATACCGATGCGCAGGGCGCTGCCGTCGTGCTGTTGCGGGGTAGGTCCCTTGATGTCGGACATTTTGAATTGAATGGGTGGTGGTGGTGGTGGTGATTTGGGAAGAGGAGGGGTATCAAGACGTTTGTGATCGTGGTCGCGATAGGTGGGCGGGCAGCTCTGTAGTTTTTTGGCGGGGTGATTTGAAGATGGCAAGTGGTGGGATGGACAGCAATGCTTCTTGGGAGCTGGGAAGAGCTACGTAAGGTGCGGGTTTGGGCTTAGGAATCGCTTAGCATGACTTGTGTTTGTATTACGGGATACACAGTAGCAAGGCGGGCGGGCGGGCTTCCAGGAACGAGGACCTTGCGATGCGGGGCAGAGCGGTTTGAGGTGCTTGCGTGCCTTGCACCTGCGAAGGGGAGCTGCGGGGCTCGGCGCCCTGGGAATTGGCTGCAGGAAACGGTACCTTAGCTTTGGCACGGGCGGGTTGCTCTCATTGAGGCTGTCGACTGGGACCAGCTGGCAAAGCGGCCGTCGTGTTCTTGGACGGGAAGGGACGACTTACACACCTCCTTCCTACACTTGCTGTTCTTGCTGTTGAGTACGTCCATTCTCCTCTTGTTGCCTTTCTGTTGAGTCCAGATCCGCCAGATTCTTCTACTCTTCGTAACACCATCATCTTGACAGTTCTCCTTATCGTTCTTCTCACATTGTCGTGTACACATTGTCTGTCCCTCACCATCTAGTAATATCTTCTCGCTATCGGGACACCTGCTCTTGTCTTACACGTCTGCGCCGATCCCTTTGATCCCTGTGTTCGTGCAGGATGTCAATATCTCAGCTACCTCAAGCTACTGTTCGTCAGCTTGGCTCCTCTGTCGTCATCCCATCTTCTGTGTCGCTTGTCAAGGAACTTGTAGACAATGCTATTGACGCCAATGCAAACCATATCGAGATCAGAATTTCCGCAAACGCAATAGACAAGATCCAGGTCAGAGACAACGGTCATGGCATTAGCTCAGAAGACTACGATGCTCTTGGACGCCGGTCCCACACCAGTAAGCTTCGGACTTTCGAAGAGCTTCAGTGCAAGGGAGGCCAAACACTCGGCTTCCGCGGCGATGCCTTGGCAAGCGTAAATGCCGTCTCGAAGCTTACCATCACGACGAGAACGAACCGTGATCCAGTGGCGGTTTTGCTGGTACTAAACCCCAAAGGCGGTGGGATTACGGATAAGAAGCAGGTTGCGGGCTCCGTTGGGACGACCGTCGACGTCTCGGACTTGTTTGCCAACATTCCGGTTCGCAGGCAACAAGTTCTGAAGGAGAGCAAGAAAACATACGCACAGATCAAGGACCTCCTACAGGTATACGCACTCACTCGACCTCACCTTAGGCTCTGCTTGAAGGTCATCAAGAATGACAAGCTCTCGTGGTCTTATGCTCCAGGAAAAGACGGTGGCGTACGAGAGGCAGTTCTCCAAGTCTTTGGATCCGAACTAGTTTCGCAATGCGTCTAGAAGACGTTTAGTGGTACCACTCCTGCGATCTCAGCAACGAAACAGGGAAGACCAGACACACCAGCGTCCATCATGAGGCTCGAGGCTTTTCTCCCGAGAGCTGATGCCGATCCCTTAAAAGTGTCTGGAAAAGGTTACTTCATTTCCGTTGACTCGAGACCTATGGCGACCACAAGGGGCACGATGAAGAAACTTGTCGATATTTACAAGAGACACCTGCGCAGCTGTGTCGTTCTTGACAGTTCTTCCAAGCCCCTTTCCAAGCCCTTCATACGCTTGAATGTCGAATGTATTCTCGGAAGCTACGATCCCAACGTGACCACGGCCAAAGACGAGGTCATCTTTGCAAACGAGCCAAAATTGCTGGCCCTATTCCAAGACATGTGCAAGGAGATATACCGAGCAACCGAGCCCGATATAACAGCTGAAAAGGTCACGGGAAGTCACCAAGGTGCACACGAACGAGCTAGATATCAAAGTCCGGATCTTCTTCCAGACGACGACGAAGAGAACTATGACCTCCTGCAAGAATTGGTCTCGATCGACGGAAAGAGTCAGGAAAGAGTACTAGCCGGCCTGGAATCCCCTGAAATTGGACAGCAGCTGCCAGTAACCCTCGACAGAGAGCATTTACACGTTCGTAAAAGCGTACCTGTGGCGGTGGAAGATCTGAGTTGTCCCGCTTCTGTGGATCACAGCTCAAGAGATATCGAGTACGGCACTGTCATAGACAGGTCCCCTCCCTCAAACCCAGGGCAAGCACGAATTAGCCGAGAGGAAGAGGGAGATACTCAGGAGCCAGTGCTCACCCAAACCCTCCTTCGGACCGATTGGGAAGTGAACATGGCTAGAGACGAGACTGCCAGTCCCGAGGGTCAAACGCAGCCGATTCTTCTGGGGCCTCCCAGTACGAATGTAAACGAGTTTATCCAGTCACAAATGGATCAGCAGACACAAAGGGAGGAACCAAACCCATGGACTTTGGCCAAGAAGGCGGCAGCCCACCATTCGGCTCGCCGCGAAGATACACCTAGCCTCCAAATCACGGGCGAGCATAGGGACAGCGATCTAGGCGATACAACTTCTCGCCAGCAAGCCCATGTCCCCAATATAGCAAATATCATGCAAGAAGCCGATGAAGTAATCAGCCGAGAGATCGAAGATCGAGAATTTCCTCGTCAGCAGAAATCCCAACCCCATTGGGTACCTGCAGCAGCTAGGGAGGATATTTACGACCCAGACACCTTTGAACCACCGATACTACAACACCCTACCGCCCCACCGACTAGTCATCGGATTCCAAGACACCGAGAACAGCGAAGAATTCCAAGAGATGAGGAGGCATTCCATTCATCTTTCGCTGGACATGAAATTGAAGACCTGGAAATAACACCGCAGAGGGGCCCAGGTGTTCGCCAACGCATCGGTGCCAAGACGCCGTATCCCTTTGCGAATCTTGATGAGAGTAGTGTGCTTGGCACGCCTCCTTTGTCTTCCAGTCCATTGCGAAAGCCATTCCGAGTACCTGCCCGCATTGAACAAGGTAACAACCGTCACGGACGACAGGCACCCCCGAGGCCTCCCCAGGCCGCTCGGAGATTTGAGCCTCGTAGGGCAGACGGACTGAGACAAAGCAAGCTTGCAGTTGACACACGAAGAGAGATACAGCACCCGGAGCTGGAGGGTACGTCGGATTTTTGCTTTCCTTCAGTTGAGTCCAGAAGAGATAACTACAATGATGATGTCGAAAGGACGAGGAACTCAGAGCATCGGTATCAGCAAGCCAGCCCAGAGCCAAACGAGAGGCATATGTTGGAGAGATTGAATGCTCTACGCTACAGAACTGAAGATGGGTATGTCGAGAATGCAGGGGAAGAACGCGGAAGATCACTCTCTCGGAGAGCTACAACCACCCTGCCCGATATGTCGCCGCGAAGATACCTGAAGAAGAGACTGGCATCTAGGTCCAGGTCGAGAATCAAGATACACAAGAGGATGAGATCTGAGATGCTTCCATTTGAGAAGCTTTTCTCTGAGCCTCACACTCAAACACACTCACTTACACTTGATCTACAAGATTTGCGGCAGGGGGTTACCAATGCATCTGATTTTGATCTTGACATCTCTAGAGGCATCCAGGAAGTGGCGTTTCACATGAGGAAGAATGAAATGGAGGATATCAGCAACAAGCTTCAAGAAATTGTGTGCGCCTGGGTGTATGAGAAGCATGGAGTTGAGGTGGAGCTCGAGGTTGATATTGGTGCATTGTGCGAGGGAGAAGACATAGGAGTATAGTGGGATAAGTTTTCTTACTCTATGATGAGTGTCATCTCGTTCGAGAGCCAGGCGCAGATTGCGTCACAAGGCGGCTTTGCTATGGGGCAAGTTATCACTATTTGTACACTGGGCTGTTACTTGCTTTATATAGACAATGACAACCATAACTTAGTTCAATGGCTGCAGATGTGGCTCACTTATACTAAATTTGCTCGGCTCATCCTCTAGTCTGCCTGTATCATGTTTCACTGTGTCTAGGCCACATCTTACCACCAAGAGCTTGTATAGCATATCTACCCTGGAGAAGTCTTCAAGCAAGTGAGGGTCTCTGAATCCTTTGTTTCCTCCACCCCAAGGCGTTCGATATCTACTTTGCCTGGTGATGATGGGCGTTGTGAAAGATGGCAGATAGGATATTTCTGAACGAGAACGTAGGCCCTAGTGACAGAAGTAATGGCGTCGATGGATTTCCAACGTCAGCTACATCCATTTGCTCGAAACGTCATATTCAACCAGTGATTGGTCATTTTACAAAGAAAGAATGCTCTAGAAGACTATCGAGAAAGTCGGAGCTAGGTAAGTAGAGATGGCACTACTTACTTTTGTAGACAAATCATATATGTGTTTTATCATGCTGGGACATGGGCTTTCGTCACGTTGTAAATATGCCCTCGCATTCAACGGAAGAAGTACTTCACAAGAAAGAGTGTACTGGTTTGCTTGATACGCTGCCTACTTACATGGTAACATATGTTTATGGTTCCAACGGGGGCCTTGGTAATTCAAAAATTGCAGTTTACCTTACCAGGGTAGCAATGCTTTCTCACCCAAGGCAACGAGAAGGCAATGAAGTTGGCCAACTCCAGTCATGCCGTTCCAAGGGTACGTCACTCTATTGCGAAAGCAGCGGGGAAAATGGAAGGCTGGATGGAGAAAAAAAGGAGGGGTGGATGGGGGTGGCACCGCCGATCCGAGAAGGTAACGATGATACGGGAGTCCACAAAACCCGGCCCCTTGGATGAATACACGTAACTTGGTGTATACCCCATACAAGGTCTCCTGTTCAATCTTCATTGGGACTGGGACTGGTTTCCCGCGTTGAACGCAGTCGCACCAGTGTGAAGGAGGCAACCCGGCTGGCTTGACATGAAGATGTATCTCGGTGCCATGTCCGTATCCCATGGTTGTCGCTTCCACTGTGCTGCCACGTTTTAAGGGAGAGGGGTTGCTATTCCGCGGCCACGGCGGCGAAGTCCACAGTGAATATACGAGCGCCTTCTAGCCGGCCGAACTGTCCTCCCAGCGGGAGAATGTGGGAACTCGGGAAGAGCCTGAGTGGCTGGAAGCATACTCCATGATGCAGCACAGCAACGGGCGAGGGGGTTGAGGAAGACGGCATCATCGTATTCCTACTGCGCCAGTGCCTACCGTCCTAGCACGCCTGGCTGGTGTGTAAACGGGCCGCAGTACTTTTGAACCTCTTCTGCAGCAACTTTTCGAGGTCTCTTCCAGACCACACCGTTCGGGCGCAAGGTGACACAGGACAAGTCTCTACCCATTTGACTCGGGTTGGCCCTGTGGCTTACCCGTAACGGCGCATGTGAGGCGAACCCGGTGATGGCGCCCCACCGGGTCCGGCTTCCTGGCGTCCTTTCTTGTCTTACATTACGTTCCCGCGAGGTTAGGGCTGGACTGGCCTAGAAACAGTGTTGGGTGGTTGCGAAGCGGTGAGATATAGCAGAGGGCTACAGGATATAGGGCAAGACCGGCCATTTCTTCGAAGAAGCTATACGATGGGGGATAAGCTAAGCACGCGGAGTGAGGCACGACTGCTCGGGAACCAAGAAAATGAGTTGATACCATGTTTCTCTGGGTTATGTGTTGGCATCTGTGAATTCCGCACAAGTTACGCTTATATCAACGGCTGAGATCCGGCCTAGGCAACACGGGGTTTCCGCGGCCACCTGTAATTATCTTAGCACCTCATCATGTAGACGGCCACCAAAAGAGAAGAAAGCTCGCGAGATTCGTGCTGTCGATTAAGGAGGCAACAGTTCAGCCTTTCCTTCGCGACAGACCGTGAAGCAGGCGGCATGGCTTGGAATCAGCTTCGTCGTCCGGGATGGCGGCAACAACGGGGGCAAGTGGGGTTGAAGAACGTCGGTCGGACAGCGTGATGGCCCTCAAATCAGCGGTGCGAAATTATGCATACCATGCCGGGAAAAGAGCCTCCAGGTCGTTGGCTGGAGCCAAAACATCAAAAGTTGCCGAAAATAGCTACAACAGAAGTAAGCGAGACATATGGAGACCGGCTTGTGCAGAAGTTCGTATTAGGGACGCGAAGGAATCTGATTCCTATTTGTTATCGCCGCGGGTGGTGGAGGGAAAGGCGGTATGATTGGGTTGGTTGACTAGCGAGTGATCGCAGTTGACGGATGACGGGTTTTGACGAAGAGACTCGATGTTTCACTACCAAAGTTTGACGTACGTTTGCTTGAGATACTTACGCAAGCACGGCAAGGTTGGCAAAGTCAGTCGGTTAGGTTCTGTGTACCTAGATAATCGCGGTGTTGGCTTGTTCCCAGTTTCGAGGTGATCATTCTAGCCTTTAGGCAGTGAGTGACTTGATTGGCAGCGCATTGAGTCTGAGGTCTCATATTACACTGCAATTTGAGTCGGTTTTCTTTATGAAGAGACGGACGATGATGTCTCGAGAGCTTGCACGAGTATAGATACGATGGCTATGGCCAAGGATGTGTTGTGTGACTGGAGTGTCGAGTTGTGCAATTGGGGGTATAGCAGCCAGATGCTATACATGGAGAACCCGTCAATTATGATTAAATGCTGGTCCATGCTGGCAGGTTTTTCTTGCTGTTCGAGCACTTGTGCTCTGTAGTAGCTCGGGTTTCTGTGGCTCAGCCAGCAACAACATCGACAGGTATCCCTGGCCGTGGACGCTGGAGAAGCCCTCTGCTGGGATTGGAGCGTCGCACACGGTGCCGCGGGATGGACGATCCTCTGCGATGCATGTGCCTAGGCAATTTGCTCAGTGTCTGGGAAACTGGGTCTGCCGAGTTCATTGGGATCTCGATCCGGTGCCTTTCTTGGTTTTGCATCTCCCTCCATGGCGAATTGTGACGATGATGCTAGTATTGACGCTCGTTTACTAGGTAGCACGCAGAGTCTAGCTAGATGATTGCCAGCATATTGCACAGACGAAGATAACTAGACGGGTACTGTATCAATCGGTGGTCTAGGTTTCGTCTGAAGTCGTAGTTCTGTCCTGCCACAGTCATGTTCAGTTGATGATCCTGGCCACTTGGCCCATGCACGACTCTCTTCATCTCCGTCCAAATTGTTTCCCGAAGGCGAATACATAGTGTGTCGGTAACCGGAAGGGGAGACGAGGACAAGGGCAGAAATTTGTCGGCCAGGCGTGCCGTGTGCTTGTTACCGCAAGGTACTGTAGCATTATACGGATACGCATAGAAGGGTGCCATTCTGGATGTAGTGAAGTTACGACAGAGTCCGCTAGAAAAGAGAAAGACAGGCGAACTGGTGTACTGCGTATGCTGGGCGCTGCAAGCACGGGGACTGGAGATGCCCGTATGCAAGTCACAGATGCGATTGAACTGCCATATTGAACTGCCATCTCAGGCCTGAAGCGTGCTTGGGCTGTGCTTGTCCTTGTCCTTGTACTACTCTGGTCTCCCTGCTCTGCACGAGCTCACTGAGCGTTGTGATACTGCTGGGCCACTTGATGATTAGCAGAAGTGGTTTTGATGATTAAGCGGAAGACGATGCCTTACTTGACATGCCACGACGCCAGTAATACCTACAAAATACCTAGATTGCATCAAGTTTGGCGTGTTATTTGGCCCCATTAGGTCCGCGACGGATGGCATTAGCCACATCCAAGTCAGAGACAAGGTCTCACGCCAGCTGTTGGCGTTGAAATGGATCGAGGTGAGCTGGCTTTGCGGAATTCCATCGGCACGTCATAGGGTGGCAGTCTTGGGTTTCAGGCCGGGCGCTAGACAAGCACTGCCATTGGGAAACCTTCTTCCCCTCGCCCTTGTCTTACCTTATGTACCGGTCCCCGTCGTCTGTCTGCTTTGGACGAGCCTAGGTTCGAGCGAGGTTTGCGCTGAAGAGCGACACAGGTAGATGGTGTATTCGCATGGTTCGTAGTTGGACAATCTTGACAGTGCCCCTGCGTGAGGCCACTTTAGGTGTTCGTAGCCCCAAGAGAAAAGAAGGGGTCCAGGGTATTCATAGCGGCGAAGCGAAGACTAGGTAACGAGTGGACAAGTCATGTCTGGGCCTTGTTAGTGAGTCGGCTGGGCGACG